TTCTCTTTCAAAAAGCTTTGGTTAATAGATATTTTTTTTTAAACCCTTCTATAATGCTTTATAACACATCTTGAACTATTCTTTGATGGGGATCAAACGGCTGTTCATGTACCTTTCTCTTTGGAGGCTCAAGCAGAGGCTCGTTTACTTATGTTTTCTCATATGAATCTTTTGTCTCCAGCTATTGGGGATCCCATTTCCGTACCAACTCAAGATATGCTTATTGGACTCTATATATTAACGAGTGGAAATCATCGAGGTATTTTTGGCAGAACGGGCCCATTTTTTCTTTCACAATAAAGCGATAGATGGAACTGCCATGAAACGACTTATTAGCATCTTAATAGATCACTTTGGAATGGCATATACATCACAAATCCTGGATCAAGTAAATACTTTGGGTTTCCAGCAAGCCACTGCTACATCCATTTCATTAGGAATTGATGATCTTTTAACAATACCTTCTAAAGGACGGCTAGTCCAAGATGCTGAACAGCAAAGTTTTCTTTTTGAAAAAGACTTTCATTATGGAAATGTGCACGCGGTAAAAAATTACGTCAATCCATTGAGGTATGGTATTCTACAAGTGAATATTTGCGACAAGAAATGAATCAACTTTTTAGGATGACTGACCCTTATAATCCACTCCATATAATGTATTTTTCGGGAGCTAGAGGAAATGTGTCTCAGGTACATCAATTAGTAGGTATGAGAGGATTAATGTCGGATCCACAAGGACAAATGATTGATTTACCTATTCAAAGCGAAGGACTCTCTTTAACAGAATAGATCATTTCTTGCTACGGAGCCCGCAAAAGAGTTGTGGATACTGCTGTACGAACATCAGATGCTGGGTATCTCACGCGCAGGCTGGTCGAAGTAGTTCAACATATTGTTGTACGTAGAACAGATTGTGGCACCATTCGAGGTATTTCTTTAAGTCCGCGAAACGGTATGATGTGATGCCGGAAATCTTTTTTTATCCAACCATTAATTGGTTGTGTATTAGCAGACGATATATGGGTTTGCGGTGCATTGCCCCCCGAAATAAAGATATCGGGGTTGGACTTGTCAATCGATTCATAACCTTTCGAACCCAACCAATATCCATTCGAACTCCTTTTACTTGTAGGAGTACGTCTTGGATCTGTCCATTATGTTATGGCCGGAATCCTACTCACGGCGACCTGGTCGAATTTGGAGAAGCTGAAACGACAGCGCCTAGGGAATCATTCACTCATTTGTTGTCCTCGGTCTTGGGTTTTCCTAATTAACCCCCCAAGCCATGCACATGCAGCCCCTATGAAACTGGCTACTAGCAAACCCACTGAGACACCTAAAATTATGACAAGTGTGGATCAAAGGCATAACCATGCAGACTCTGCGACGTCACCCGATGCCACTACAACTCTTTTGTTGATCCATTGTCCTCCCCTTCTTCCATTCCCTTGGATGTGCCCTCAATACATAGTGTTGGCACGAGAGATAAACCACCATAAAAACTCCCATACAAAGGACGACATAGGGGGCTTACCCCGGTAAAGCGCTCCATTTCTAAGGTTGTGAAATCCTCTAAGGGAAGAACTGTCAAGACCCGTGCCTTGTCCCAACTGGAATCTTTGAGTCTGGATGAGGAAGGTGTGTTTTATGACTTTGTAGCTAATGAAGGAATCCGGGGGATAAGGGTTCTAGTTCAATAAAGGTGCTTTTCATTATATCGAATAATAAGTTAGGCCCGTAGTGCTCCGGGATTCTGACTTCCTTACTGGTGCTTAGAAGCCCCCCTAACTGGAGATGAACATTCATATTCTGGATTCCCTCCTGGCTTAGCTTATATATGAGAAAGACCTGCGGGTGAGCGACTACCTGTGATAGACGAATTCGCTCCTACTTCTTAACCGACCGAAGCGGAGTTTTGAACCCATGTCGAAACCAGGGAGGTTGAAGACAAACTTTATACATTCGCTAAAAAACAAAGAAATTTGAAAAGATTGGGTTGTGGAGGATGATTCGAAGTTATCCATGCTGTAAAACGTAAGCGCAAGCTTAACTCGATCATGACCTTTACTTATTGGATTCGACCCACCCGAATATCTCCTTCCCTTTCATATGGATTTTCCCTCGAGCTCTTTATATTTTAATAGAATTACTGGGCCTAAAAGACTGCTGATTTGCTCCATTCCAGGTTGCTTGCTTAATTACTGGGCGGGCCTAGCCCTCTTTCTTTGGAAAAAGTGAGACGAATTGCTCGTTGACGGCTTAGATTACCACGGCATCCTACCTTGCTCTTGTCTTTTTTGCTACCGCTCTGAAAGCTTGAACTAACTCCGAGATTCGACTTCCTTGCCCAGTCAATCTCTTTTTTGAGGCGTGTAGCTACCTTACCCTTACAGCCATCGGCATATCTGCTTCTGCTTTTTCACACCACAACTCTAACGTCCGGTCCTGAGTCCTCTTTTCTTCTCCAGTAGCTACTGTCTTTGGGTAGTAGAGTCCTCGTCTGCTTATTCGCTAGCCTCTCTTGCTTTGCGTTGTAGGGGTGGTTTAGTTCATTCAAAAAGAAAGAGACTCCTTTTTAGGTGAATTTTAGGTAGTTCCTGTGGTTGCCGGTGTAGAACCATAGGCGGATGGTGTTAGTGAGGTGGAATGCTTTGAAGTCATCGATGTCTTCGTGTTGGAAGCGAGGGACTGCTTTTGTGCTTGTATCACCATGGGCCTACCCATTAGCGCTATCCAAGTAACAGTCAAAGTGGAAATTGTACGAGTATGCCTATATCTCTGTCTAGGAGTCGAAGCAGTCGATTACTTATGTCTCTTTGAATCGTATCATCCACGGCGAGTGCTCTCGTATAATAAATAAGGGGACGGCTGCCCTGCATTTAGAAGCGTTCTTTTCATTCAACTATTATTATCATAAGAGAAGAAAGAAGAGTCTCTTTCGTTGTAGCCATAGAAGACTCGACCCAAGCAATTCTTATGCCCAAAGACTCCCATGCCTTTCTTGGTCGGACCAACCCAACCGGTGATTTCGGACAAGTCTTTCTTCATTTTTGAGCAAGAAGCGGAACTACAAGAAAGCTTTCTTTCTCTTTATGGATAACCAATTCATTTTCAAATATAGTTGGGAGACTTTACCCAAGAAATGGGTAAAAAAAATAGAAAAATCAGAACATGGGAATAGATCTGATACCAATACGGACTACCCATTTCAATTGTTGTGCTTTCTTAAATTGCATACCTATACAAGGTTTCAAGTTTTGATCGATATTTGCGGAGTTGATTATCCTTCTCGAAAACGAAGATTTGAAGTGGTCTATAATTTACTGAGTACTCGGTATAATTCGCGCATTCGCGTACAAACCAGTGCAGACGAAGTAACACGAATATCTCCGGTAGTCAGTCTATTTCCATCAGCCGGCCGGTGGGAGCGAGAAGTTTGGGATATGTTTGGTGTTTCTTCCATCAATCATCCGGATCTACGCCGTATATTAACAGATTATGGGTTCGAGGGTCATCCATTACGAAAAGACTTTCCTCTGAGTGGATATGTAGAAGTACGCTATGATGATCCAGAGAAACGTGTGGTTTCCGAGCCCATTGAGATGACCCAAGAATTTCGCTATTTCGATTTTGCTAGTCCTTGGGAACAACGTAACGGTAACGAAGGATAATTCGGAATCAGAATAAGTCCAGTCCAGGGGACAAATCAATAGGAAATGCTATTTGCTTCGTAAGAAGACTTCTATGAAATGAACGAGTTTCACGGGAATTGTCTTGATCGTCGGATATCATAAAAAAAAAAAGAAGAAGTGTTATCGAACGATTTCCTGCGATTCTTCCCAACCCAATATGGAATGAGAAAGGAATCAAGCTACAAGTCTCGATCTATAAAAACTTCTTTTTTTTTCTTTCGGTTTGGGTTCATTGATAGCAGAATAGCCTTACTCTCTCTATAGGGGCGCTAGCGCTTTACTAATAGAAAAAAAGGGGCCTGAAAAACGTAATAGGCTGCTACTCTAGGCTCGCTTCGCTTTTCAAGCCCCGTCCCCTTACTCTATCAAGTAAACTACCTTTTTGAAAAACTAAAGGGCTAACGAGCAATAAAAGGCCCCACACCTATACAAGGTGTGACGCTTCTTATTGAGAACTCAAATTTCGCGCTAGGCGCTCACATTTCTTTTTTGGCTCCCCCTTTTGCTCATAAGTAAGTAAGCGTTGATAGGAGCAGCGGGAGTCTTTTTATTTATATAAAGAAAGAAAAAAACGATCTGGAAAACAGGGAAAGAGTTCTCTACAATGACACTGTAGACTAATTGAAAAGGATGTCACGGGTTCCAATCCTGGCATCCCTACCTATTCTTTTCCCCTGGGCAGTAAGGGGGGATCCATTGAGATCGATTCAATTGGGACATAGATAATCTGTTATTTTTATGATACTATATATGATAGTATATGTATGCAGGGTGTAGTATTGGGTTACAAAAAGAATCCTTTTCTTTATAGTCTTATCTATTGTGATAAGAAAAGCGCTCTTAGTTCAGTTCGGTAGAATGTGGGTCTCCAAAACCCAATGTCGTAGGTTCAAATCCTACAGAGCGTGATTCCCTTCTTGTTAGGTCGAATTAGACTGAAATAAATTCACAAACTTGAACAGTAATAAAAATTTTTTTTCTAATCCACAGGAGGTCAATCAAAAAAAGATTGATTAATTAATCAAAGGTCCAACTGATCACCACGTTTGTATTGTAAATATGCAGTTACGAATAATCCAGCCAAAGTAATAGGAATTAGACCTAAGATGATTCCAAATAGAAAAACTTCAATCATTTCAATTCGTTTGAAAAAAAAAAAGATATCTCATAAATCTGGTAGGCTGAAGCAATGGAATAGGGATTTCGCTAATTCAATATAGATTTTTGAATGAAATTACACGTATGTAGTCGCTTATGCGAAGGTTAAGGGTTGTAATAGCTAAAGCTATGCTTTTGGATAGAGTTTTC